GCGAGGCGGCGACGTCGGGCTCGGCGGTGGCGACGCCGTTGGCGAGCTCGGTGAGCAGCGGCTCGAGCCGCGTCGCGATGGCGGCGAGCGCCGCGAGCGCCGCGGCGCCGCGCGCGCGCACCGACTGCTGCGCGTCTGAGAGGGACTTGACGAAGGTGGTCTGCAGCTGCGGCACGAAGGGCTTGAGCGCGGCGGGGGAGCGCCCGAGCAGCAGCGTGAGCGCGGCGAGGATCGCCGCCTTGACGCCGGCGGGGAAGCGGTCGCCGATGACGCGGATGAGCGGGCCGGTGATCTGGATGACGAAAGGCTTGAGCGCCGCCACCGGCGTCAGCCCGATCGCCTCTCCGAGCGCGAGAGCGGCCGCCTCGCGCAGCTCCGCGGAGCCGGTCATCAGCGAGTGCAGGTAGACCGCGACGAGCGGCGCGAGGCCCTTTGGCAGCGCCAGCCCCGCCACCTCGACGCGACCCGCCGCCGCCGCCTGGCCAGCCATGTCGGACCCCTCGGCGGCGGCCGCCTTGCGCGCAGCAGCGCGCGCCTCGTCGGCGAGTGAGGCGAGCGCCTCGCGCAGCGTGTGGACGTGGAGGGGGTAGCGCTCCTTGGGCAGCGCCTTGACGAGCGCGTCGAGCGCGCCCCACGCCGCGCGCACCACGGCGGGCTGCGGCGCGTTGATCGCCCCGACGAGGGCGGCGAGGACAGGCCCGAGGTGCGGTGCGTGCTCCTCGGCGCGCTCGCACATCACCGCGCCGAGCAGCGCGCACGCCGCCGCGCGCGAGTGCGGCGGCGCGGCTGGCGCGGCGGCGCGCAGCACCTCGCCGTACAGCAGGTGGAGTCCCTCCTCGCCCACGGAGAGCGAGAGGGACCGCGCCGCACCGAGCAGCGCCTCGCGCTGCTCGGGCTCGGCCGCGCCCGCGGGCGCGCCGGCGGGGAGGAGCTCCGCCTCGAGGACGACCCCGTCGAGCAGCGGCGGCAGCGCCACGTCGAGCTGCAGGTGGAGGTGCTCGCCGCAAGAGTGTGCGACGGCGCCGAGCGCTCGCGCCGCCGCGGTGCTGACAGGGCGCGCGCAGAGGCGCGGCAGCAGGAAGGGGACCACGGCGGCGGGCCGCTGCGCCACCGCCTCGCGCAGCCCGCGCATCGCGGCGTCGGCGTCGGCCGGGTCGCCCGAGCCGAGCAGCTCGAGCATCGCGGGGATGATCTCGTGCACGGCCGCCGCGCCAACCACGCGCTGCAGCGCGGCGAAGGCGCGCGCGGCGGCGCCGTACACCGACGCCGCCTCGTCGCAGAGGCCGGCGCGCACCGCGCCGATGAGCTCGGGCAGGAAACGCTCGACGTGCTCGCGGCCCGCCGAGGCGATGAGCTGCGTGAGCCCGATGGCGGCGCCCGCGCGCCGGTCCTCGTCCCCCTCCTCGAGCTCGCGCCGCAGCAGCGGCAGCAGCCGCGGCAGCACGCGCTCGCCCAGCTTGACGACGAGCTCGCCGAGCGCCGCCGCCGCCGCCTCCTGCGGCTCGTCGTCGCCGCCGGCCAGCGTGCCGATGAGCTGCGCGGCGAGGGTGGGGAGGATGGCGCGCCTAGTGAATGTCAACTAGTGTTAATCAGTGTTAATTAGTGTTACCTAGGCGAGGGTGGGAGGATGGCGCGCAGGGTGCGCGGCGTGTTCTCGACGAGCGTCTTCCACACGGTGCCCGCCGCAGCCTAATTAGTGGCAACTAGTGTTAATTAGTGTTAATTAGCGTCTTCCACACGGTGCCCGCCGCAGCCTTGACGGCGGCGGCCGTGTCGGAGCGCGCGATGTGCAGCGCGGCGAGGAGGGCGTGCTGCTGCGCTGTCGGCACGTGCGCGAGCGGCGAGTCGGCCGGCGGGTCCTCCCCCTCCTCGAGCACCTGTGGGGAGGGGCCGAGCCGGCTCCGAGAGGGCCGAGGCGAGGCGCGCCCTTGCCCTCCTCGAGCGGACCGGAAGAGGGCCGCGCTAGGAAGTGTCTAGGAAGTGTCTAGGAAATGTCTAAGCAGTGTCTAGGAAGAGGACCGGAAGAGGGCCGCGCTCCGTCAGCCGCAGCAGCAGCTCGCCGAGCAGCTCGATCGACGACTGGCGGATGCGGTAGTTGTCTGAGGCGAGGCCCTGCTGCAGCGGGGGGAGGAGCAACTCCGCCGCCGCGCGCGTGTACGTCGCGATCACGCCGTGCGCGGCGCGCAAACTCGCCTCGCGCACCGGCTCGGCGCCTACAGGAAGGTTCCAGGAGCGGTCTAGGAAAGGTCTAGGAAAGGCCTCGCGCACTTGCTCGGCGCCTATTCGCAGCTCCGCCCCTCACGGCCGCGCTCTTCACAGCTCGCCTTGCAGACCCGGCGCGGGCGCCGTCCGCGAGCCCCGCCAGCACAACCGGCAGGACGGCGCCCAAGTGGTGCTCGAAGCGAGGCCCAAGCACGCGGGGCAGGTGCGTCCACAGCGCCGCGTGCCCCTCGCGCGCCGCCGGGTCGGGGTCCTCCGCGCCGGCGAGCAGCGCGGGCAGCTCGTCAGAGACCGCCTCGTCGCCGAGCGCCGCGAGCACCTCGGCGAGGCCCTGCGCGGCGCCCGCGCGCTCGACGGCGGACGAGTCGCGGCGGAGGCCCTCGCGAAGCCACGCCATCAGGTTCGGGAAGGCGTCGACGCCGAGGCCGGCGCAGAGCCGCCCCAGCGCGCGGGCGCCGGTCGAGCGCACCTCGGGGATCGGGTCGAGCAGGACAGACTGCAGCTGAGGCATCATCATGTCGAGGTAGGGCAGGATGTCCTTCGGGTCGGCGAGCAGCGAGCACATGTTGCCCGTGATGTGCGCCGTCCGCCGCTTGGCCTGCGCCGATGGCGCGCGCAGCCCGCGCTGCAGCACCGGCACGATGAGCGAGAGCGAGGGCGGGTCGACGCAATGCTCGAACTGGCAGTGCGCGAGCGCAGAGAGGGCCGCGTCGGTGCCCGCCGCCGGCTCGGCGAGCGCGTGCAGCAGCGCCGGCAGGATCTCGGAGATCTCCGGGTTGCGGATCACGGATCCGACCGACTGCAGCGCGGCGGAGGCGGACTCGCGCACCTTTGCGTGCGAGTGCGTGAGGGCGGTGGTGAGCGCCGGCACGAGCTGCGGCAGCGTCGCAGACAGCTGCTTCGGGTTGACGAAGGCCATCGACCCCATCAGCTCGACGGCGGCGTGCTGCGCGCGCCACTTGTCCTCCTCCTTGAGCGAGCGCAGCAGCGACGGCAGCACCATCTTGACGCCCTGCGCCGAGAGGCTCGACATGATGACGCCGGACGCCGACACCGCTGCGTGCCGCACGCCGCCCGAGCCGTCGGCGACGCACGAGAGGAGCAGCGGCAGCGCGCCTAGGAAGTATCTAGGAAGTCTCTAGGAAGTCTCTAGGAAGTGTCTAGGAGCAGCGGCAGCGCGCCGACGACGTGCGGCTCGAAGAGGCGGCCGAGCGTCTCGCAGAGCGCCTCGAGCGCGAAGAGGGCGCCCTCCTTGGCGTTGGACGCCTCCTCGCCCCGCTTCTTCTCCTCGATGGCGGCCTGCAGCGCCGCCATCACGCCCTCCTTCTTCAGGCTGGCAATGCCGAGCCCCTTGACCACTCCGGCGAGGCCAAAGGCGGCGCCGCGCCGCATCGCGTACGACGGCGTCGCCAGCAGCGTCGCCAGCAGCTCCTGCAGCACCTCGGCGCCGCGCGGCTTGACCTCCGCCCGAGAGAGCAGCGCGGAGAGCGACTTTGCCGCCGTGCGCTGCACCACCTCGGACGGCGTCGCCAGCGAGTCGACGAGCCGCGAGAGCACGAGCCCGACCTTAATTAGTGTTAATGACTGTTAATTAGTGTTAATTAGTCGACGAGCCGCGAGAGCACGAGCCCGACCTTGGGGTCGTCGGGAGGGATGTGGCGCGCGAGGGCGCCAAAGCAGACGACGACGCCCGTGCGCACGCGGTCGTCCGCCTGTTCGCACCCGAGCCGTGAGGAGAGGCGGCTCGTCTCTCTCGCCGCGCGCCACGTCTCGTCCGCCTCGGTGGTGGCCGCCTCGGAGAGCATCGTCTCGAACATCGGGGCGAGGAGCGGCACCATCCGGTCGGGCGCACCCTGCTCGTTGATGAGCGCGCAGCCCGCCGCCGTCATCGCGGCCGCCACCTCCTCCACCTCGTCGGCGAGCGCGCGCTTGAGGAAAGCGAACGCCACCGGCAGCTGCATCACCGACGCGGCGGGCGCCACCGCCGCCAGGCAGAGCGCGACTCCGTGCCGCGCTCGCCAGCCGTCGTCCTCCTCCTCGGAGCCTAGAGTCGCAAGCTGGCTGTGTCCAGGCGCCGCTCGCGCGGCGGGCGGCGCCTCCCCGCTGGGGCGCGGCCCTCGGCTCCGTTGGCGTGCGGCGCGCCCTTCTTGCCCTTGGCACCCGCCGCGGCTTTCGGCGGCGGCGACGCCTCCTTGTGCATCTCGAAGAGACGCTGCAGCAGCGTGTGGAGCCGCGGCGGCTCGTCGGCGGCGGCCGCCGCGAGCGCACGCGCCGCCTGTGCCCGCTCGCGGCCCGAGAGGGCGGCGAGTTCGGGCAGCAGCTCCGCCTCGAGCGAGGCCGGCAGCGGCGGCGCGCCCGGCTCCGCGGCGTCGACGCAGCCGGCGTAGAGCGCCCACGCGTCGGCGCCCCGCGCGGCGGCGGCGGCGTCGTCGTCGTACCTCGCCAAGTGGAGCCGCGCTGCGAGCGGCGCGTCGGGAGGGTGCCACCCCTCGGCGAGCGGCGCCGCGTGGCAGAGCGCGCTGAGGGCCGCGCACCGCTCGTCGGGCCCCTCGGCCGCGGTGGCGGCGCGGACAAGCTGCGGCAGCGAGGCCGGCTGCAGGGCCGGGGCGAGGACCTCGAGCGCGACCGCCGCGTCGGCGCGCCACCGGTCGCTCGAGAGGAGGGAGAGGAGGAGGCGGACGCTCGTGCGGCGCGCCGGCTGGTCGAGCGGCAAAGAGGGCGCGGCGTGGAGGGTGAGCAGGCTGAGCGACGCCGCCGCCGCCGCCCGGTCGGCGAGGGCGCATTCGAGCAGCGGGAGGAGCAAGCTGTACCCCGCGGGCGGCAGCGGCATCCCGTCGCACGCGCCGAGGAGCGCCTCGAGCAGCGGCGCGAGCGCGAGAGGCTCCGAGCCGCCCGCGCCACTCTCCCCCGCCGCGTCTCCGGGCGCGAGCACGCGCAGCAGAGCCCTCGCCACCGGCGCGCGAACGGCGTGCAGCGGCGCGGCGGCGCACGCGAGCAGCGACTCGAAGAGGGCCTCGAGCCACCCTCCGCCGTCCGCCGCGCGCAGAGCAGGCAGCGCCGGGAGCCGGACGAGCAGCGGCAGCAGCTGCGGCAGCCTGCCTCGCACCGCCGCGGGCGCGGCGTCGGCGGCGGCCGAGAGGAGCTCGCCCAAGCGGCGCAGCTCGGTGGTGCGCCGGCCGAGCCTCTCGCACGCCTCGGCCTCGGCCGCGGCCACGGCCTGACGCTGTGCCTCGGCCTTGTCCACCTTCGGCTTCTTCTCGGCCGCCGCCGGCTTGCCCGCCTCCGCCGCGCGCCGAGCGAACGTTGCGCGGATCGCAGCCTCCACGTCCTCGTCGGCGCCTCGCCCGTTGGCGCCGCCGCCGCCGCCGCCGCCGCCGCCTGGCGTGCTCGACGCGGCGGCCGCGCGCTGCGAACGCAGCGCATGGACCTCCGACGGCGTCGCGGCAGCGAGCTCGTCCGCAGCCTCGCGCATCGGGGCCTCAAGCCGCGGGAGGAGGGCGGCGGTGACGGCAGCCCGCACCTCGGCGGGCGAGGCGGCGAGAGCGCCCAGCGAGGCGAGCGCCGCCAGCCTCGTGTCGCGCGAGGCGGAGGCGGCGCCCTTGTCCGAGGCGACCAGCTCGGCAACCGCGTCGGCCGCGCCCCGCAGCAGCCCCTCCGCCGCCTCCCCCCACGCGGAGGCGACCTCTTCCCACGGCCTCCGGCCGCCGCAGCCGCCCGGCCCGGCGGGCTCGCGGGGCAGAAGGGCGGGCTGGTGGCAGAGGAGGAGCAACCGCGGCACGAGCGGCGGAAGCTCCTCGCACCTCGCGTCGCGCAGCCGCGACATCCCCGCACGCAGCGCCGCGCGGAGCCTCCGTCCGTGCGCGACCGCCGCCCCCGCAGCGGCGTCGGCCGGGTCGGCGTCGGGCTCGCCCGCGGCGCCGTCGGCACCCGCCGGCTCCGTTACCTGCCTCCGCGCCGCCCGCTCGAGCGCGCGCAGCACGGCGGCCGCGGCGACGGCCGGCGCG